AAAATTCTACTAAACAAGAAAAATTATATACATTTCCATAAAGAATTGATTTATTAAAAACGACTTGTCAAATTCTTGTTTCCAGGAAGATAGAACAGGCATATTTTTCTCTATTTTTCTTACTAAATGCAACTAAGTGCCAGGGTAAATTTACATGCAATAACAGAGAGTCATAAAGGTGGAGAGAATCAGGTAGATAAGCTAGTGACTTGTGGCCTATGCAACATCAAAAGGTGAATGCTCTGGGCTTGCTTTTAGCCTCATATATCCTGGACATGCAATGAAGAAATTAGCAACCTAGAGACACTAGTGGGCACACATACCCAAAAAAACAGCAGATAAAAAACTTGCCATCTCTTCCCAAGCACCAAGAAAGAAAGAATCTATCAAGGGAAAAATTTTAGACAAGAATTACTCTACTAAAAAAAAAAAAGAATTGCTCTACTTCAGCCAAATACTACAGAAAAACAGTGAACACAAACCTACGTACATGAGCAGATAGCCTAGCTATCTAACCTTGTGAAACTCTGAAGAGCCTCATTAACCTTTTCCAAGTGATGCCAGAGACCAAAAAATAAACAAACCAAATAAAGTGCCATCGAGTTAATTCTGACTCATAACAACCCTCCCTATAAGACAGGGTATAACTAGTCCCCCACAGACAGCTGGGGGGCTGAACTTCCAACTGTGCAATTAATAGCTTAATCGTTATACAGCAGCACCCTATTAAAAACAAACAGAATTTTCTTTTTATAAAAATGTGAAAAAAAAACTGCAACCAACCAAACAAACAAAAACAACCCTGTATTGACAATCAGTAATGAGCTCTGCCCTCTACCACTGCTGATCTACCTCATTCTTTAGAATCAATAGAAAACACACGGCGTGCCTAGGTTTCCCTCCACACAGCAGTAACAAGGTAAAACTCCATCATGGTCCCCTGCCTAGTAGAAGTGAGCCCCTTCCCTTTAAGATGGCAATGGTGGCCATATGACAACCTGGATTTCTACTTCCTCCCCAAAATAAGGAGACAATGTCCCTCATCTTTCCCTGATGGAGCTGTGTAATGAAAACCAATCGAAAGATAAGATTTAAATCAGATCCAAATATTATAATGTGAAAGTGTCCAGTTTTTAATAGAGAATCACTCGCCATACCAAAAACTAGGAATATCTCATAATGAATAAAGATAATAGATGGCAAAACATGCTAGAACATCTACCAAAATTTTTAATGAGCTATCATTAAAATGCTTCAAAAACAATTAGGAAATGCTTGAAATGAACTTTATCTTATTTTAATTTTTATTCTTTTCTTATTTTTAAAAAAATCATCTTATTAGGGGCTCATACAACTCTTATCACAATCCACATGTACATTAATTGTGTAAAGCACATTTGTACATTCATTGCCCTCATCATACTCAAAGCATTTGCTCTCCACTTAAGCCCCTGGCATCAGGTGAAATGAACTTTAAAAAGAATTAAAGGAAAAGAACCACATAAAATTGGAGATATTTTTCGAACTGAAAAATTAAATAACTGACAAAAAATGAATAGAAGATTTCTGATAACTTGGCACCCTAGGACAGGCTAATTAGACCCACTACAACAAAAATACAAGAAACCAAATGAAGTAAATATGGATGATAATCCTGGAACTCTGAGCTGCAGAAGAAAGGACAGAAGTGGATCAATGCTCAACTAAGAGGAAAGCAGTGGACAAGAACAGGAAACGAACAGGGAGTTGTCAGCTTGACACAGTCAAGTTGTCTTGACACAGTCAACCACTTTAAACTTTTGCAGTCAGC